GCGGGGGAGATGAAAGCTAACATCACATATCACACATACTAAATTCAAACAGAATCATGAAAATAGAGATTATAGAATGGCAAGAGATTATAGAGCACTGTAGGCAACTGCTTTCTAATTATAACTTGGTTTTAATTTAGCATGTATCAAGTTTAATTTTACAGATCAAAATTATCATGGAAGGGACAAGTAATTGAATGTTGTGAGCAGTGTTGGTCCTTTGTATAAAGTGCACCTCAAGAAAACCTGACTTAAAGGACATCAGTTTTGAAAGGGAAAGACACAGTTCTGAGATACTGTTTCATTGGGAGTCTTCCACCTTTTGATGCTTTGTTTGCCTTTATACTAAGCCTGTAAAGGGTTTCCTCTAAGTTGCCTTCTCTTCCCCCAAATGGTCTTTTTTAGACTTTGCCTCTGTTCTATCCACATGTCTGCCAAGTTTCTTCATCTTAATTTCCACATAATCAGGGCTCTGCTCTGACCTGTTCTGGATGTTTCCCTTTCTGGGACAGATCCTCTCCTTAGATACTATGTCCTGTCTGCAATGGGACTCCACTGTTCCCATCATTTCCTTCTTCTACAAAATCCTCACTTGTTGCCACTCCAGGGAAGACTGGTGTCAATGACTTTCTGATGTTTACTTCTTCCCATACTTACATGAAAGTTGATACCTGCAGTTACAAGTGATTTCACTAGTCCTCCTTAAATCCCCAAGTTTGAAGACTATAAAGAGATAGAGAGCCAGGCGCTGGTGCCTCATGCCTCTAATCTTAGCTACTCAGGAGGCTGCAAATCTAAGGATTCTGGTTCAGAGCCAGCCGGGTCAGGAAAGTTCATGAGACTCTTATCTCCAATTAACCACCAGAAAACCAGAAGTGGTGGTTTGTGTGGCTCAAGTGGTAGAGGGCCTTCCTTGAGCTGAAGAGTTCAGGGACAGCGCTCAGACCCAGAGTTCAAGCTCCATGATCACCACCACCAACAACAACAACAAAAAAAGGAGATGGAGATTCTCCTAAATATTCCATTGCTCTCTGGTATGCTATTCTATGTTACCTGTCCTTAAGACTTTGTTGATGTTTCTTTTTTACTTGATTCATCTTAATTTCTCATGAGGCCTTAAAACAGCATGTGAATTACCTTTTGCTTATACACAGGAACTTATTATGTTGTCAAATTCTTCTAAAGTTAACTAAACTTTTTACATGAAGAACAATTTATGATAGGAGTACATTTTATTATTCCCAGGCAATCTTATATTTAGAAACATAGATGCTGTTATTTTCTGATCACTGCATATTAAATAATAAAAAATGAATTTATGAAAAATAATAAAAAGTTTTATGATCACCAAATCTACTGCTCAGATTTTTCCAGACATTGGAAGATATATATAATATGTAATATTATACAATATATATAATAATGTATAATATAACATAGATATTTATTATATATAGATGAAGGTTTTGACAAGCTTTGAAAGTCAAACTTTCTCTCTTTTACTTTAATGCTTCATGCTGTTTGAAGAGTTCCAGACCTTGCCTTAATTTGGACAAAGTTTGCTTGTTAAAAATGAATAGCTGGTTTTCAGCAAGTAAAGTACAGTGGTTGAAGGACCTGGCCTCCCAGAAAGCATAGGCAATTCACCCTAATAGCAGGAAGGAGAATGTCATTGAAGGGTTCAACTTTCATTTCAAAGCCTCCTATGTGTGGTCAGTTACAAAGAACAGACTGAATAGGAGACAAAGAAAGGCCCCAAATCCTGCTTGGTCTGTTAATGAACCTATCATTCTGTCCTTTTACCTGGGATGTCTGCTCTCCCCACACCACCCTCTTCAACACTAACAAATTCCTACTTTTCTAGAACCCTTTTGGTTCTTTACTCAGTTTAAATTCTGTTCCTATATGATTATCTAGACATCCTTTTGGGCCTTCTCAGAGTCTATGCTTGTTATATCTACTGTTTCTTCCTCATTAAATTTGGTAATCTATCAGTTTTTCTAATAATTGTATCCTTAGCATTTAGGACAAAAAGGCACTTAATGCGTATTTGACTAAGTATTTCTTAGTTAAAGCATTAGCTTATCAGGGATGTACCTCTAAATTTTACATAACTTAGAAAATAAATATAAATATGGCTACTTTTTTGTCAATTATAAGAAAAAATTACATTGCAAAAAGCAGGTGTTATAGTGACCAGACTTTTCCTGACCCAATTTCTACTCTACTGTCTGCTGAAATGCCAGATATACTTCATTTATCCTCCCAACATTCAAAACCAGAAAAAGGACAAGAGATTGTTTTCCTGCATTGCAAGCCAAAAGCAATTCTCCTAGTTTCAGACTTTTAACCTGAATGTCTTAGTGATTTGGAAAGAGAATGCAGTTATCCAGTAGGTCTCAGGTCATTGTCTTCTACACCCAGGGAAATGTTATGCTATTTCACTAAGATGAGGCTGTTACATTCCCTGTATCACTCTCACAGACTTCATGATCAGGCAGACAATAGCATATGCCTAAATTCCAAGTAAAACTTTTCTCCTTCAGCAATAGGTGTATACTAAGCAAGCTCAGTAGGTTTCTGAGTCATCCAGTTTTCCTTCAAATAACTGTCTTTATTTGTTAGGAAATGGAAAGAATTGGAAAAATCATTTTAAGTGAAGTAAGCCAGACCCAAAGAAATATAGGTCCCATGGTTTCCCTCATTTGCAATAATTACTATATGTTTAGGATAATTTTATCAGATGAGCAGAAAAGTTCAAAAGCTATGTACATGTGACCATATAAGATGATGCTAAGTGATATGAACCCCAAGAAGAGAACACAAGAGGTCTTTCTTTGTTGTTGTAGTTTTTAATGTACTATGTGAATTTTTTTGGTTTCTTTTGTATGTTCTTCCCCCTATGGTATATCCCCTGTTGTCACTGTACTTGATTTTGGTACCCTGCATCTTGTATATAGATAGGTCTAATTTAGGGAGGGGAAGGGGAATAACAAAATGCTGAAACAAGGACACAGGATGACCCATCGCAACAATGATACCCACAAGACACTACATTGGAAATGAACTTTGCAACTTTTGGGGGGAGGAGAGTAGTGAGAAAGGTAGGAGAAGGAAGGAATAGTGGGAGAACAACAAAGGAGGGAGTAACAATGCTTGATAAGAAATGTACTCATTACCTTACTCATGTAACTGTAACCCCTTTGTACAGTATCTTTACAATAAAATAAAATTACAAAAAGAAATCTCAAGGAAATGTTGAGACACTAGAGACTAGAGAGAGAAGAGAGCTTAACAAAATTAGACACATTAGGGCTGGGAAGGTGGCTCAGTAGTAGAGTGCTTGGCTGGCATGCATGAGGCCCTGGGTTCAATTCTTCAGGACCACATAAGCAGAAAAAGCCAGAAGTGGCGCTGTGGCTCAAGTGGTAGAGTGCTAGCCTTGAGCTGAAGAGCTGAGGGACAGCGCCCAGGCCCAGAATTCAGGCCCACAACCGACAAGAAAAAAAAAGAGTCTCTAACCAAAATTAGACACATTATGTATCTGTGCTCAGCCAATTTCAGCTAAGCCCAAACATGAAACAAAATTCATTGGAATATACTTTATACACTCCTAATACAAGCAAAGCTCTAGGATCTAATGTAAGAATATGAAAAGGAGTTTTTAGGACCCTAAGCTTATTAACAAAATATTAGAAATGAATTAAGAAAGGCAACTTCTGTCTTTTCACTAATTAAGCTCCAACCATATGCCAGGTCATGCTTAGCATATGAAGAAATATAAGTATCTTCTAACAACAACCAAATTGTATCAGCCTAATCCTTATTTGGGAAAGAGAGACCAATGTTTCAAGGCTAATTCTCTTATATTTATATCAATAAAACTTTCTCAATAAGTACAGTCATTCTTTCCAAAATGTTATGTTTTTCATTTCTTTTCAATTTAAGATAAAGTCTTATAAATTTACACATGCTGTCTGATGAAACATTATTTGCACCTTGAAATGAATTCTGATAAACTTACCATAGACATTTTTTTCTGGCTCTTAGTTGCTTTCTATTCTCAATTTTTTATATTTAGATTTTTATTGTTATTATTATGTAGTTGTATAAAGGGTTTACAATTCCTTAAGTCAGATAATGAGTACAATGCTTCTTGGACAATGTCACCCCTTCCTTTGCTTTCCCCCATAGACCTATTTTTTTTAAGTCAAAAGTAGGCCCAAAAAATAAAGTTTTATTTCCAAACCACAAGTGAAATAAATTAAAAAGAGATGAATTAAATCTAAGATTATTTCTCCATCTCTCTATTATAAGAAATATTATCAGAAATACAACAAATGCCCGAGGTGTTCAGATTAGCGTCACCCATAACTCCATGAAACATTTATCCAAATTTTATCTCAAAAAACTTAGTATAAATCCTACAGATCTACTATAATCACAAACCGAAAGGAAAAAAATAATCCAACAAACCTCTAAGCTTAATAAAACAGATGCTCATTCCTGACAAGGGACTAGCTGTCAGGCAAAGCACTGATTTGTGAACTGAAGCTTCTTTCTCACATTCCATAAGGTACCAATAGTTATCTCAAGACAAACTACTACTAATTGTTGACAATGGTTTAGAAAAAGAAAGTCAATAAAACTCAGGTTGCTAGTAATGAACATTATTTGAAAACCAAGAATTGTTCTAAAGCAAAAGTCCTCACAGACCACTTCTTTTGAAGGGTGTGTGTGTGTGTGTGTGTGTGTGTACCAAGTCCTTTGCAGAAACAATGAACTGAAAAATGCATTAAAATCGAACACTTTTTTTCCATAAAACGGATCTTCAAAATACAGCTGCTATGAGTGAATAAAGATCAGAGAAAGGTAACAGAGAGAACAGAAGGATTAAAGAATGGAAATATATAAAAATGAATACAACTGTCCCAGATACCTTAAAATTTAACTGTTTAAAACAAGTTCTTTTAATAACATAAGTACTTGGTTTTCATTACCTGACAGGCAGATATAAGTTAAATATTCGCCTTGACCACCAGTTGCCAAGAAAGGAATCTTTTTCTTTGTCCTCCTCTTGACTTGGACAGCGCCCAGCATTCTTTCATCAAGAGGTGCAAAAATTTCCTTGCTGATGGCAGATTTGGCACTCATTGTAGAGCCAGCGAGGTGGGCACTCAGTGAATTTTCTGAAGATAAAGAAAAGGCAAGTTGGAACTGACAGCATTGCAGGGCTTATAGAATATGAACAGCAAGCTAGTTTTCAGGTGAAGTACTTTTCAATTTGCAGTTTAAACACTTAATTGCTTGAAATGCACTAGAGAAATATTCTTTATTCTTGCAATAGCTATGGAGAAAAATGAAAATATATATTTACTCCCTGAAAATGTTAAACCCAATGGGAGATGAGCACCATGCAATGGGATCTAGGGACTTTGTGAATTTCTACCGCAAGTACACCTCACTCCAACTGCCAAGCACTGCCCACTCTATTCCCTATTATTTAAGGAACACAGATTCATATTTCCTGTTTAGAAGTCTTTCTACTGTCTAATGATCACTAAAGTTAAGACATTCATAATTCCCCTTCCAAATCTCCTTTGAGTCAAATGTAAATCCTTATCCTTCATTCCCTTCACAATGGAGACACCTAGATCTTTTTCTGCAAAATAACTATTTTATCAACAGAAAACCATCCTTCCTTGGCTGCCTTTGATCATCTCAGTAGTGAACTCTTATTTCTTAGCTTTATGCAATGGGCCTATCTTCCAGCATTCCTCTGCAGCTAGTTGCCATACTCTGAACCCTTGCCAAAGTCTCCACAGTGTCCTTCAGCCAAAGTGGCCATGGAATTCCAAAAAAGTATCTGACTAATGCTAGGTATTTTGGAAATGTTATCCAGAAGTTCCCACATGTTATGCTCTTGTAGTTAACTGGCAGTGGGTGCCCAATAATTAAGAAAATAAAGCAGTATGTTGCTGACTCACAATGAGTCTCCCCCACCGTACTTACACATACACAGCCCCAGTGTTATATTTAGTTTTCCAAAACGTGTATTTCCCCAGAGGTCTTAATTCTAAAAAGTTCAAGGTCAATTAGAATATGAATCCTATCTTGGTATGGGACAATAGCAACTTTGAAAATTTTCTATATTCTATCATTTTACTAATTATATTCTATAATTTTACTAATGAATGACTAATTACTGATACTTGTTCAGGCAATTTAAAAAATCAGAATTAGGTAAGGCACAGTAGCTCAAGCCTGTAACTCTAGCAACAAGTAAAGCAGAGATCAAAAGATCACAGTTCAAGGCTAATCTGGACATAAATGTTTGAGAAATATCATCTCACTCATTGACTGGAGACAGTGACACATGCCTGTCATCCCACGTGACAGAGGAAAACACATTAGAAAGATTACAGTCCAGGCATAAGGAAAGACCCTGCTTTGAAAATAACAAATGCAAAAAGAAGCTGAAGTTGTGGCTCATGTGACAAGTACTATGAGTTCAATCCCCAGTATCATTACAAAAATAAAGAAAAAACAAAACAGAATTCAGAGCCTTGGCGTGATCATGCAGATTGCAATGAATACTTAGAGAGTTGACAAATGGACCAGCAGCAGTTATGTGATAGTACTAGCAGCTGGTAGAGTTGCTCAGATTGCTGTAAAATTGAGCTAGCTACTAAACAAAGTCCCATTATAAACTACCTTATGCTCAAATAAGATATAATAAAACTTTAAAATATGGTTTTCTGTCTTCCAGGAGTTGACTACTGACCACATCAAAGGTTTGTCTTAAATCTCAAGATTTATGATAGAAGACCAGAGGTATACCCTACCCATTGCAAGAGTCACAAATGCTTCCAGCATAGCTGCCCATCTCTAACCTGTACAACATCTGCAACCTTCCAGTGGGAGAAAAAAATATGTTAAAAAAAAAAAGTATCTCACTGGTCAGGAAAATTTCTCCTAGTTTAAATTCTGTGGCACTCAGTGGCACTAAGCATATATAACATGTGAGATGAGAATATAGATTTATTGATGTTGATTTTTCAAATCTACATGTACATTTCCCAGTGCTGGCATTATGACATTTTTTATGCTTAACATTGGGTTTTCATGCTGACTGAGAAAAAAATGACTTTTTGCTGATTACTAATGATACACTGTCATGTCTCACAAGTTAGCAAACAGAACTCCCCACTGTGCTTTATGCTATGATTTTTCCAGGACGTTTTTCAGAAAGGGGGAACACATACTTATTCTTTGTTAGTTCCAAAGCTTCTCACTTGTCATCATTTAGAGACATACAAAAGAGACAATGGTAGTGTAACGAATTTTACCAAGTACCATTCTGTGAATAAAAATGGCCCATCCATCTTAGGCTCAAGAAGAAAAGTGATCTCGCAGGTAATTAAGGCCTCCATCTCTCTCTCTCTCTCTCTCTCTCTCTCTCTCTCCTCTCTGTCTATCTATAACTTCAATTTTTTAATAAGTTTTGTAAAACTGGTATGAGGAAGACAGAGACAGATGGAGATTTTCTCTTTCCCCAGATTTGATGAAAACAATAAATAAATTCACATTTCCATTTATATGCATGTCATTTTCTCTAAATGTGTATCTCTTAATGTGGGTCCAAACTTTGGATCCAAAGCCAAGCTTTAAGGCTAAGAGTTTTGGTAACAACATAGTAGCTTCAAACCATTCTCTAAGTAAGGTAGAAAATAAGCCATATTCTCAAATTCAACGTTCATTCTCTCTTCAATAAATCTAACTGGCATGGCTTTTGCTTTTGCTCCTCAGACTCACATTTTTTTAAACTAGAGTTAAAGGATTGAAATCTATCATTTTTATTGTATAAGATCTTTCAGAATAAAAGAAGAGACACATGTATTTTGCCAGAGTTTTAGGAAATTGCATTCTTATTTTGAAATATACCAGCAATCCAATAGCCTTTTGCCTAAATAGGAACTAAACTCTAGACTAGACAGGAGGTGTTGGATATGGGGAGGAAAGACCATAGGAAGATCAAATGCATAGGACTTTTGTCTCTTGATTCTGAAAGGCAACTTCATAAGATCATACATCTCCTGGTGGTAAATTAATATATAGCCCAAGACCATGTGATGATTTTATGGAAGCAAAGTGACTACAGCAGCAGTAGTACCCCAATAGATTGCAATTACATCCAATTTTTCCCTTTTCCTAGTCCATCCACAGCTTCTGTAAGATAAAATTACAAATCTTTTCTATCCAAGAAACCAACCTATAATATGGTTTGCAAGTCAAAGCAGCTGGTTGCCTTAAGTGATGTTTGCAGAAACTACTTACACTTTTTTTTTGTTTTTCCTCAAGACCTTCCTTATCTTACTTTGAGTCATCTTAAATATATATGTAGATAGATAGACAGATTATCTACGTGTCTATTTATGGATATATGGATTTTGTTAGTTCGGGGCTACTGTAATGATATGGCTTATCACTACCCAAGTAACCAAGAAATAAAGTTATCACTTAGAGGGGAAGTTAGAAACACCAGTGACCTCAGGGATCTGACAGAGGAAGTATAGATACAAAGGGTACAAGCATGAGATGATTTTGTATTCCAACACTGACACTTTTGGTTTTTACTAAAATTGACATTTACCTTTGTGGTCAGGAGACTAGAAGACAGAGGAGAAAGAGAAGGAGCAAAAGGAAGCAAGACTCAAATAACTAAAACCCTGCCATTGGCAAATATTAAGGAGATGAGATAATATCAACATTTATTCAACTTAATACTATTGGATGCTTGATTTATCTAATATTATGAACTCTGTTCTGAGTCTGTATTAAACATAATCCTCAAATCGTGTTTTGGCCTTAGCTGTGCCAACATATGTACTCTGGATAGAGTGCTGTTTAAACTCTGATTTGTAAATAGGTAGTACATAAATCACATTTCTTACGTTATACAATTCAAGAGAATGCAATCAACATGTTGACATTCACATCAGAAGCCCTGAAGTTAACAGTTAAGGTAATCTCATATGGGAAGACCAGCTGGTTTTCTCTGGTACTTAGGACCTCCAGGACAGTAAACTCCAAACAACAGAAAGAAGGAAAATAAGATTATTTTCTAAAATTGGGCTTTACTACATTGCAATTTTACACAAACACAACTTCAACTTCTACCTACAATCTGAAGAGATTGTTTCAGTTTGGATCATAAATGCCTCTCAAAGATCATGTTCAAAAGACTTGATTGCCAACATGTGGTGTTATGAGGAGGTAGTACAATGTTTGTGAAGTAGACTCTATTGGAAAAATAAGGTCATTGAGTATATGGCCTTCTGGAAGATTTTAGGATCTTTAACATTTTTCCCCCCTCTCATCTTGCCTTGTGGTGAGCTGATCTACTCCATTATATGCTCCCCACAATGATGTTCTGATTCACCACAAGACCTGAAACAATGAAACTAACTGACCAAGAATTGTGATCTCTGAAATCTTGAGCCCCAATTCCTCCCCGCAAAAAACTCCTTTTAAGTTAATTGTCTTGAGTATTTTTTCACAGTTTATGGAGAGTTGAGAGAAAGCAATCATGCACCAAACTCAGACAGCCTCTTCTGTCCAGTTAATGACTGAGTGTTTTCAGGGAGTTATCCTCAATTCTTCCCTTCCCTCAAACCATTCAACTTCTCATAACAATGCAATTGCTAAGACCCATGGCTTTAATATTTTTGAGTTCCATCAGTTTTTCTTCAATTTCATTTTCTCTACCTTGGTTTGGAGCCACACCATTCCTACCCAAAAGGGTTTCTAAAAATAGCCTCTTCTGAAAGGCCTCTGGTTCATCTCCAACTTTAATGCAGTCAACCCTTTCCACTTGCCACTTGATATTCAGATAGAGTGGACAATTGAAGATGAGTGAAGCTTAACTGTATTTAATTGTTTCTTTATGCTTCAGGTCTTGACCTTGACAAGGCTGTAATGTTGAAACTAAAGTAGAGAAATGTGAAAACACTCCCCTTCAGCCTCACAGTATGTAAGTACTAAATGTACAAGTCAGTTGTTGTTACATAATCATGAAACTGAAAAGTAACCAAAAATGTTAATTTTCCTCCCAAGTAAGAAAAATTTGTTAATATGAAAATAACATCAATTTTGTGTTTTTCTGAGTTCACATATAAAGATCAATGAG